TTTAATGTGCAAGAGGTTGGAATTGGTTTCCAAGTGGGTTGCGAGTGGCTACACTAACTTTTTTTGATTGTTTCTCAACAAAATCCTTCTTTGATTAGCCTTCATGTGTTGGTGATGTGTGTCTGTGTGTGCATGTAAGCATCGTGAGATGTCCAAATACACACATGAATGAATGAGTATGACCCTGCGCAGCAGCAGGTCGAGGATCCCACGAAGGAACAGTATCACTTGACTGTCACAAGCGGACAACCCGAAAAGACAAATGTTAAGGTTTTATCATAAGGACCCCTTTGATTTGATGCCTCCCCTCAACATGTCCTACATCCATCTTTTTCAAAGCTTTCGACCCTCACAAGCAAGTTGATTCGCCTGATCTCCTTCTCAATTACGTCTCCATGAGCGGCACACACGGATATGACTTGTTTTCTTAATCATATGAATATACATCATATCATCATGAATATATATGGGATGTGTTTCTGGTATGGTATAATAATTTTGATTGGATTTCGGATGACTCGTTTGTGGCTCACGTACGGAACCATTATGAATGCGTAACTGGGCGTTGATTAGGCGGTACAACACATGGAGGGGGCACTCATTTGGATTCATCAGAGGAACTGTGTCTTTATATATTTCATGAGGGCAAAAGAGTAAAGTGGAAGCGCTGGCAAACAACAGCTTTGATTTTCGGGACAACTAGTGATGCTGATGATTCCTCAACATACGAGAAGGGTAGGGGACGGCTGAAAGGAAATCCTCATACAATTCAAATCTTCAATCGCCTTTAATTAATATATGTGAAATAATATATAAGCTAGCTAAGATAGTCTATATATATCCTCATGTAGGGCTTGACATGAAAGCTAAGTCGGGATTAATTAATTATCGTCATTGTTTCTCTCATTCGAAAAATATTTATATTCAAATCTTATAAAACTAGAACAATAATGAATAATCGTAGTAGCGTTGATGATTACATATAACATTTTAAGAAATTGAAGTTGAAATATTAGAGGCATGATATTATGGGAAAAAATAATTAAGAAAGGGAGAAATTGGAGATGAAGTCCATGATATTATTGGGATAGCCCCACAATAATTCATTCTACTTCTTTCCCCTGTTTTTAAATTTTTTATTTCGTGCATTTTCCCCTGTTTTACAACCTGTACGCTGCTCATTTCCGTTGTGTTTTGCATCGTTATGCTTATTGTACTCTGTTTCTAATTTGGTATTCCCCTGTTTGTAGGCGTGATGAGCGAAATTGATACCTTTTGTGTTAGGTTGGGGTTGAAATTTAAAAATTCAACCTTTTTGGTCGACTACTGTTTCAATTTTCAGTCCTTTTTTTAATGAGTTTTTTGTTGTATTTTTCAGATTTAATTTTCATTTTTTTTCTTTGTTGGTTCTTGAGCATTTCTTGGCTTCTTTGTTGATGTGCGATGACTTGGAATGCTAAATTATTTTTATCCTAAGTTCAAAGACATTACAGTGTTTTATAATTACATAAGGAAATTAACTCAATGCAATCCACATTTTTTTTTCCCCAATCCCACAACAATAAGCTTGTATATTACCCGACTTTTTTCATTGGGCCCAAGTTTCTCCTTCTGTTGCTTTGCATCTTCCCTGTTAAGGATATGTGGGGATACTTTTATTGAAAAGAATACACACATAAATTTTGATGGATAAATTTAAACAGAACAATGTGTATAGTAAAAAATTTTATTTTTAAAATAACATTTAAAAAAAATTGTGTGTATGTGTGAAAGAGGAGAAGACTAAGAATGAAACCACCAAGAGTCTACTACTTTTCTCACTCTATATATGTGGTTGTGAATTTACTAGAAAACTGCAAATAAATAATCCAAATTGTCAAACAAATTAACCAAACATGACAATGTAATTTACTAATGCGCACACAATACAATTCAAAATTTAATTTCACAACACCATTTTCAGATTCAAACAGAACATCAAATCAATTTCATTGGTGGTAGCGGCGAAACAACAACAAGGCTTGAAGCAAAGAACTAACTAAGCATATACCTTATAAATCGCTAAGGAAAAACAAAAGTAGGAGACAAGCTCAAATTCATACAAAAGGTTCTTAATGCAAGTGAACAAGTTTATTAGCTACTCTCATAGCAATGTAAGGATGGGAGAATAGAGAAAACTACATAAGCTCCTAGCTTGTATGAAGCTCTTGCTTAGAGCCGGTAATTCGGGCGGGCCGGGCTTATTCGGGTCGGGCTCAATTCGGACCGGGCTTATTCGGATCGGGCTTAAAGCATCCTACCCCTTCTAAAAAGCCCATATAGCCAAGCCCGGCCCTAACACCTTCGGGCTTCGGGCTTATTCGGGCTGGCCCGAATACCCGAAACTTTTTAAAAATATTTTTTCTGTATTTTTTGAACCAATTTTAATTTTTAAATAATTCTATTAATCGTAAAATATTATCTTAATTTTAAAAGAATAAAATAAAAAATAATTTATCAACTTTGTATTTAAGTAGCTCTGTTATTATTTTGTTATATTATGTATAATTTATTCATGAATGTTTCCTTTACTTGTAAATTAATGTCTTAATTGTTTAAATATTGCTCTTATCATAGTCATATATAAATATTTTATATATTTTAATTAAATTATATTATTTTAATTATGATTAAGCTGATCCCAATTCAATCACAGTTAGACTACTAACTTAAAATTATTATTTCGATTAGTTCAAAGTTTTAAATAACTTTTAGATAATTATACTTTTCATTTTTATGAATATAAAAAAATTGCCATCATTATATTATATAAAAAATTATTTAATTATGAGTAAAATATTATTTTTTTTGAAATTATTTTTCTTTAACTTTTTATATTGTTTAACACTTATATAAAAGGGATTCTTACTCTAGTTTACTCTTAATTTTTAACCAAATCTAGCATGGACAATAACCAAGTAATTATTCAAGAATATTATTGTATTTATTATGTTTATCTAGTAGTAGAGTCAGAAATTCGTGCATGCCAAAATTTTATTTTAAAATTATTTTCAATTTTATTTTTATTTTAAAATTAATTCTCTTAATTTATAAAAAATATAAAATTATTTTTTTACATGCAAATGATTTATAGGACTCAAAATTTTTTTTTAACAAAAACTGGGTCTTAAAATATTAAAATCAATATTAAAATATATTTTAAATATTATTTTAAAATATTTTATTGATTAAAAATAATAAAAATATGAAATATAACTATTTTAATTTTTTTTAAAAAAATAACTATATTAAAACACATATATATATATAGTATTTTGGTATAAAATGATATAAAATTTGAAAAATTAATTAATTTTTATCATATTTTATATATTTTTTAAAAAAATTAATTTTTTATTCGGGTATTCGGGCCTATTCGGGCGGCCCGAATAGGCCCGAACAATAAAAAAATAATATTTTTTTCGGGCTTAGCCCTAAATTTTTCGGGCGGGTTCGGGCTGATCCGTCGAGCTCAGCCCAAATTACCGGCTCTACTCTTGCTTCTTGAATTAATGTCTCTTAGACAATTCCCAGTTCTTCTAAATCTTGTGCACAATCTATAAAGGAAGTTTAAGAAATATCATTTTTTACCAAAATAAAAAATTATGCAAGAATTAATGAGCTACAGTATCAACTTCTGTATAGAGGTATGTATAGCAGTTATGTGTGTGTATATGTATTCTGTCAAGATTGTGTTATACTTAAAACATTCCTAATAATCTCAAATTTATCAGTAACAAAATGCAAAATGACAAGGGTTGAGAATTAGGAAGAGAAGAATGATATTCAATCCAAACGCTTTTAAGAAGTGTATCACAACCAATGAAATAGTGTCCGTGCATCATCTTTTGGAAGTCTTCTTGCTACGGTTTTTTAAAATGATTCAGTAAACATCAGAGATTTAAGCAACTATACTGAAAGAAACAAAACAGGCACTTAGAAAGTGAGACCAAGCAAATTAATATACCATAAAACCAAGTATGAAATATGCTCAATGGAATGCCAATAATTTGATATCCACTCCCATCAGCTACAATCTTATCTTCTTTATTCTCAACTTCATTGGGATTCTTTAAGTTGTCAGAATGAATCTCAACTTCATCTCTGGTTTTTTGCCATCTTTGGACACAAACACACTTTCTTCTATTATGTAAACAGTACTGACTTAATATATACTGTAAAATGATACTCCTTCTATATTATCTATAACGTTTTCATATTTCTTAGTATGATATTTTTTTATAAGAAACCAGTGGAATGTAAATTAATGAGTTCTTTTTTTTCCCAAAAAATATCCTTCACAAATCCACAAACAAATATCATGTTCTGTCTTTTTTCAATGGTGTAATTAATGTGAGTAAGAAAGACCTCTAATTGACAGTAGTTTTGTACATCTTTATAGCGGCGGGATGCTCTTATAATTAGTTGTGTTTTAAAAACCCAACTTGTAACAGATAATTACGTGATATGCTAAACCATAAAACGAAAACATTGCAAAACTTATATATATGCACATTGTATTTTATTAGTGAAATTTAGATAATAAGAATACAAATTGCTCCTACATCTCTCCTTTAAACATGTGATCGTACATAAGATCTAGTTTGACCTTTGATAGAGGATTGAAACTAAATTATGTCATACAATTGCCACCAAAACAACAACACAAAAATAAGGAAAGTATTGCAAAATATGACAATAAATCCAATACTATAAACAAACAATGCCGATGGAAACAAAAAAATTAAGGGAATATAATATTTATACGAATTGAAAGATTATATTAAATTTATGCATAAAAGAAAGATTTAAATATTCATAAAAAAGGAATAATATAAAATATAGACTTTCAATTAAAATAAAAATGTTTGACATACCTTGAAGCATTTGTTCTTATTCTACGCACTTTGTTAGGTGGGCTTCGCGTTTTGGTCTAACTATGAACTGATCATTGACGCTAACATAACATTAATTCCATGTTTCAACATCTCCTTTACACAACACACGCCACCGACATTTCCTTAGTTTGACCTTTGGGTTAACCTTTGGGGACTCATTGTCAAATGTATTTCCAACAGAAAATACCACTTGAAGTCCATTTACAACCAAAGACGAACAAGGAATATATATAATACAGCGTTGATGACTCCAATTTGATAGTAACCAACTGATATAGATACCATAGGTATTAGGAAATTGATCATTAGGAAATCTGCATGTCCACCAGACAAACTCAACTTCTTGTTCATAGGCCAAATCATTTTCTAGCACTAAGCATGTGGCTATGCCCCACCATTCACTTGAACGACAATAATCAGGTATGCTTAGTATGAATGACACATTTGGATAACTGAATTCTTTCTCACAAAAGTATTCTTGATTATGAAACCATGATGGCACTTCATTACCTGAAGTTGCTAATACACGATTAGGTTGCATGAGGAAGTCAGGCTGTGACAAAACAAATCGTAAGTCTTAGAAGTATAATAATTAATGTGTACGAAATGAAAAATTAATATATACAAGTCGAATATAGATATTCAATGTCCCGGAAAAAACAAGAAAAAAATAGAAATTGAAATAATTCAAAAAAAACTCACAATTTGTGAATCCTGGGTCAAAATTGCAGAGAGAGGACTTAAACGGACAATTTTATATCCTCCATAAAATTCTTCTAGTGAGAGGTCATTGTAATTGTGAACCTATAAGGAAAAATTGGCTATATTAAAGAAGTATAATGATTAATGTGAAAGAACAAGTGAAGACAAATAAAATAAACCTGAGATTGGAATGAATCAATGAACTCCCATAGTTTCTGCGAACATATGTAATGTTCCATTGATGGACTACCACTCGCGAGAATAACTGACAGATTTGACGGAAGTTGTGGCAAGGACTTAAGTATTGGGCAATCAAAGAGACCAATACATTGAAGCTTCGAAAGATTGGAAATGAGGCCAGATGGTAAGTCAATGAAATTGTTTCCACTTAAATTTAATGTTGCCAATGATGTAAAGCTGCTAATGTCATTAGGAAGTGATCCATCATAGAGATTACAATAACCTAAATTTAATTCGCTCAAGCATGAAAAAGAAGGGGACAAGAAAAGATTTATTGAGCTTGAAGGCCTTTGTAGCCCAAATGCCTTCTTGAGAAGGGAAAGGCAACTCCATGACATTGAAGAATGTGCTTGACACCAACAAGGATTGGTCCGAGTGATAAGCAGCTCAGTTCTGCTTAAGCAAGGTCTCGAGTTTGAGCCTTGTGTATGTAAAAAACCCCTGCTGAGAGACTCATCCACCATAGTTAGGTACGTGACGCGGGTTGGATCCTCTAGCATCCTTGAAAGCTTTGACCAACTAGAAATTGTGATAATATTCCTGGCTGTCATTCTACGGACATTGTTTGGAAGGCAAACCAGATTTTTGCAGCCTGACAAATTTAATTCAGCAAGACCAATCAAATTGCCCAGTGACTTAGGTAGTTCGGATATAGCAGTTTCATCTAAATCAAGCTTAGAGAGACATTTCATATCCTTTCCAAACTCAGGAAGTTTGCTAATTTTTGAACAACCAGATAAAACAAAAGTCTGTAAGCAATCCATCTCAAATTTTCTTGGAAGGGTTTTAACTTTTGTGCACCCTTTCAAATTAACAATAACAAGATTCTTGTGTTGCCCAAGAGACTGGTGAATTTCAACAAGGTTAGGACACCCTTTGAGAATCAATTGTTCAAGATTAGGAATTTCATCAAAATTTGGGGTTTTTATGAGGTATTTGGAATGAGATAAATCAACGGACATCAGCCTTTGTAGAGACTTGAAAAGAAAAAAAAAAAGAAACAAGAAAACAGAAAGTCCTCAAAACCAAAAGCTAGTTATAATAATAAGTGCATTAAATTATGGACAAGCAATTAAAATGGAAGGACAATAATTACCTGTGCCCCACTGCAAAGTTCTTTTACTTTGCTATGTTGCATTTTTAGATGAACAAGTTTATCAAGTTGAGTATGTCTAGGCAGAGAATCTAAAGGATACCCCTCCCATTCAAAAGCTCTCAACTCATTGGAAAGAGATTTAATTCCACCAGGAAGATTCAATTGGCAACGAGAAACATGTGATGAGCAACTTGAAATGATAAGTGACTTGAGATTACTCATTTGTATGAAGGCTTCAGGATCCAAAGTGCATCAGATGATTTTTCTAATGTTAGAGCTATACCTCGAGTTGCTCCTGTACACTATAAAATAATAACTCCAGTTAATAATATACCAAATTCATGGAATGAAATAATAAATAAAGGGTGCACATACAATCACAAGAACTTAAGGGGTGTTACCTTATTTCTTTTTAGGATATCATTGGCATCCTTCAAAGACAATATCCTAGAACGCTTACTAGCATCATTAGGTGATTCTTGAAGGACAATATATTTACCCATATCTTGAAGAATATCATGCACCCACAAATGCCCTTCATGATTGATTACTAGTAGTGATTTCTCAGTAAGAACCTTTATTCCAAATTTTGGGTGAAGATCATCATCAAATGTTTCTAAAATTTGTATGACATAATCTTTGGCCATCCCATTGAAAAAGCAAGCAACATCCAAGAATATAGTCTTCTCCTTATCATCTAATCCGTCATAACTCACTTTAAGTATCTTCAGCATATCATTTGGCGGAACCTTCTTGAAATTGGAAAGTGCATCCTCCCATTCCACTATAGTTCTTCCACAAAGAGATGAACCTAACACTTTGAGAGCCAAAGGAAGGCCTCCAGCATACTTTATCACATTTTTAGAAAGCTTTAAGTAACCTTCATTTGGTTGATTTTTTCCTTTAAAAGCATTTTGATGGAAAAGTTGAAGGGACTGGTCATCACTCAAGAATTTGATGTTATACTGAGTAGATACATCATATGATGATAACAAATGCATATCTCTTGTTGTTATTAATATTCTGCTCCCATTGCCTAACCATCCTTGCTCTGGAGCCAAATATTCAAGTTGGCTTATCTTACTCACATCATCAAGGACTAGAAGAATTTTTCTATTCACCACCATGTTTTTTATCAACTTCATTCCTTCAAAACAATCATCCACTTCTGCACTTCTTTTATTCAAAGAAAAAAGAAGTTTTCTTTGCAATGAAATCAAACCACCTTTGTTAAATACCTCTCTGATATTATGAAGAAAGCAACAAACCTCAAAGTCTTTGCATTTTCGCTCATAAAAACCTCTTGCAAGAGTAGTTTTGCCTAAGCCTCCTGTTCCCCAAATTCCTATAGATTGAACTCCTTTCGAATCACTTGCTATGATTGACTCCAACTCATCTAATTTTGATTCAATTCCAACTAACACACTAAGGTCAGATGGCGATTCATCAAGTAACTTAGACATCATTTCTTTAGCAATAGTTTCAATGAATTTTGTTTCATGCCTACATATAGAAAAATAAAATTATAGCATGATCTTTCTTTTAGCTAAAATAGCACGATTGTTTAAATCAATTGAATTATAAATTTTCACGCATAAACACTATAAATAGTTAATGTGAGTTTAAAGAAAACATGACCACAAATGTAACAATTTTAAATTTACTGTGAAACTGAATTTAACTTATCAAGAATAAGCGATATATCTTAATTAAAAAAAAAAGAATAAGCGATATATAGTTTTATTCATAGAAGAGCTGAACGTAGCTTCTAGTATTTATTCGCATGGGCCTACACCGACTTTAATTAATAAGAATATTCACATCAATTTAAATTTCTTGATATTAATAAAAAAAGCAAAATATCTAAATCTAGGCATCGGCATCATGCCCTTTTTAAAATCGAGTATTTACTTTACAATTAACGAGAATATTTCGATGTGCCAACATTTCCTTTATCATAATTATTAAATTAATGTATTTCAATGTTAGATAGTTGGGTCTTAAATTTTTGTATAAAGAACAAATCTAATTTAACTTAGTTATAGTTTTCAACTTACAATTATTTTCCTCATTTCTAAGATTCATCAATTAAAATATATAGAAAATCATACTAATCATAAGCCATGAATAGTCTAGCTGATTTCAAACTATTATCTTTGGTATAATTTATAAGTTATATATAATTTATAAGTTATTTCTAACATGTTTTTAGTAGAACTAAAGAAACATTTAAACTTATTAATTCTCTCTAAAAATTTTAATAAGTTCTTAACTTGGCTCCTATATATTAAATATACATATTTTAATAATCTACTTTCTTTCACTAACATTTAACAAGTGGTAAAAGGAAAATTTTTGTAATAAAAAGTCAATAACATGCCTCATAGATAGGATTAAAAAATATATTTTTCTCCTTTGTAAATAGAACCGGAAGGAGAGATGGATTTACAAAATTGCTCCCCCATATAATCCTATTTGGCCTCGTAGCTATATTTCTAATTGAATTAAGCAATTAGGTTAAAGATGCATCAACGGGGATGTGTTAATATGGAAGACTTCAACAGGGTTATCAAGACTGTTTGACGATATATATATATATATATATATAGATATATAGATTATAGTAATGGGAATATGAAAGATACTTGTCAAAATTATATATGTGTGAACATACTTTGCTGACTCCTAGACATTGAAGTAATTTAATTAACACATTATTGTTTGAGATTTTTTGGGTAATAAGTTGTATTATTTGAATTTTGAGTAGTATTTTTATTTTTTTTTATAATTTTACAGAAAATACAATATCAACTTAAAAGTTCGAATCTAAGCTGACTTTTCCACTACTAAAAAAAAAGCAATATTAGTATTTATTAATTAATAATGAAATCTCAAAACACAGATTTATAAGTCGACCACTAAAAATTAACTTTGCACCACATTCATTTAGTGAAAGCTTCAAATAACTCTCAAAACAGAAAAAGAAAAGAAAAGAAATGAATAAAGCTTGATGTGGTTATATATTATAGTTTATTTTCGATATCCACGCTCTTATTTTTCACCCAATAATAATAATAATTACTAAGAGAGAAGTAGAAATTACTTATTTTGGGAGTCCCAACCAGATATGCTAGCAACTTCTTCTAAAGCATCCCTCCATGTTTGCACCTTCATATTGTCTTGCGTTAATCTTCCTTCATGCTTCATGAATGCTTCTGCAAAACTTCCCTTTTGTTTTCTCACATCAGATGGATCTACACCGTAAAAGATTGGAAATACTTGAAGACCCAACTCTTTTTTTGAATGAAGGATCTTTTGGAGCTCATCCAAACACCATGTTGAAGAAGCATATCCTGGGAAGAGCACAACAATTGCAGAACGAGATTCTTCAATTGCTTCAAGTAAACTTGGGTTAATATATTGTCCCCTCTCAAGTCCTTCTTCATCCCGGAAAGTTCTCAATCCTTGGCGTATTAAAGCATCATACAAATGATCAGTAAAGCTTGTGCGAGTGTCTTCACCTCGAAAACTCAAGAACACATCATACTTCCATATCTTAGTTGATCCACAAGAGCTTGAAGAACACCCAACTCCATCAGCATCAAGCACCATTGCAAGGATTCGGAATCTGAGCCAAAGTAAAATATTTTGAAAAATACAAATGAAAAAGAATACACACACAAAGTAAGGGATACTTTTTTCGATAAGATATATATTTTTTTTTCTATAAGAGTCTAGCAAGGGATACTGAAGCCGAAAGAAAGTGAACAAAATTTTTGAGTATCCCATAACATACAAATTTTCCCTTCTATTTGAGTTTGAAAGCAAAATCTTCAGCAGTTCACACAAAAAGTCCCAAA